GCATCATCAAAGAAGCTTCCTCCTAGCCAGGCAATGGTAGCACATGCCTTTAATCCCAGCACTCGGGAGGCAGAGCCAGGCAGATCTCTGTGAGTTCGAGGCCAGCCTGGTCTATAGAGCAAGATCCAGGACAGGCATCAAAGCTACACAGAGAAACACTGTCTCGAAGAAAAAAAACAACAACAAAAAAGCTTCCTCCTACAGCAGATAGGAACAAATACAGAAACCCACATGACAATGTGCAGAGAGTGAGAGACCTTGGAACACTCAGTCCTAAATGAGATGGTTCTAACAGATCCTTCCCCTCAGAGGTCAGAAAACTCTGTGGAAGAGGAAGTGGAAAGGTTGCTTGAGCTGGTGGGGATGGAAGACACCAAGGAAACAAGAGCTTCACATAGGAACTCACAGAGACTGTATACAGGGCCTATATAGGTCCAAGCCAGATAAGATCCCAGAACTGTTGTTGGTTGTTTTGCAATGTTGTAGAATATTATTTTAAGGTGTACTACTTTTGTTTATGTTGCATTTGTTTGCCTCTGTGAAGCTGTGTTACTGTGCCTAAAACATCTGATGGTCTAATAAAGAACTGAATGGCCAAAAGTGAGGCAGGAGAGAGAAATAGGCTGGCAGGCAGAGAGGACAAATAGGAGAAATCTGAGAGTAAAAAGGAGAAAGAGGAGGAGGATGCAAGGGGTCAGTCACTCAGCTACACAGCCAGACATGGAGTAAGAGTAAGATTTACAGAAGTAAGAAAATGGGAAAAGCCCGGAGACAAAAGGTAGATGGAATAAGTTAAGAGAAGCTGGTTAGAAACAAGCCAAGCTAAGGCCAGCATTCATAAGTAATAATAAGCCTCCACATGTGTTTTATTTGGGAGCTGAGTGGTAAGCCCCACAGAAGAACAAAAACAAAACAACATTTTGGCACCCCATGTTGGGCACCAAATATTGTTTTGTTTTTGTTTTTGTTTTGGCTCTTTTGGGGGGCCTGCCACCCAGCTCCCAAATAAATCACACATGGAAGCTTATTCTTAATTATAAATGCCTAACCTTAGCTTGGTTTGTTTCTAGCCAACTTTTCTTAACTTTAAATTATCCCAGCTACCTTTAGTCTCATGGCTTTTTCTTTTCTTACTTCTGTAATCTTACTTTCACTCTTACTCTGTGGCTGGCTGTGTGGCTGTGTGGCTGGCCCCTGATGTCTTCCTCCTTCTCTGACTACTTCTTTCTAACTCTCATCCCATGATCTTCTCTCCTCCCAGATTTCTTCTTCTATATATTCTCTCTGCCTGCCAGTCCTGCCTATCCTTTATTCTGCCTTGCTATTGGCCGTTCAGTTCTTTATTAGGCCATCAGGTATTTTAGACAGGCAACGTAACACAGCTTCACAGAGGCTCATGCTGTTTTTATAATTTATACTGGCATGCCCCTTAATAAAAACTTAAATACATAACCCAAAACTCACTCTAATCAGACTGGAAAAGATACGTTACTGGCTCAGGGATCATGTGTCAAATTCATAATCAGTAGCTGTTATTGAAAAAAGGGAAAAAGGAAATAATCACTATTTGGGATAATTAACAGATTCTGTCAAAAATCATGAGTTAGTTCAAAATAGAAAATGAATACTAAAAAGATTTTACATGAAATGCCATGTTATAAATGCACTTCTGGGCCGGGCGATGGTGGCGCACGCCTTTAATCCCAGCACTCGGGAGGCAGAGGCAGGAGGATCTCTGTGAGTTCGAGGCCAGCCTGGTCTACAAAGTGAGTTCCAGGAAAGGCGCAAAACTACAGAGAAACCCTGTCTCGAAAAACCAACAAAAACAAAAACAAAATAAATGCACTTCTGTTTTGATTAGCATAAATTCATTATACTTTAATTATATTCATTGTCCATTACCCTCTCATATCTCTTCTCCCTTCTGTATTCTCCCCAAATAGTAGCCCTTCTACTGTTATGGGTTACCTGAAGAGAAAAATTCCCAAGAGGCCTGAATAAGCAGAATGGAGTCTTTATTAACACCAGTGTCCCAAGCAGACTAGCAGGAAACACTCCTGACTTCCAGCTGGTTTGAGTTTTTAAGGGTAAAAAACATACAAAAACAAAAACCAAAACCACAATTGTGATGTTTACAGAAAGCAAGCATTATTTACAGAAGCTGTTAAGAGAAGTGAAGAGATAACACTTAAATGGTCAGGCAGTTAACTTTTAGCTCAAGGTCACATTGTATAGGAATTTAGGATTGGTCCAGAGATCAGTTTTACCCAAGATAGATTTAGCACTTAGAGTATTCTTAGGAATACTTTCATGAGATGGCATAACTATAGTTCAGTAGCCTACTACACTGCTTCCATATCTTTTTAAAACCCAGATTCAGCATAGGTTATGCTTGTCTTTCTGAATCTGGCTTATCTTATTAATGTAATGATCTCCAGCTCCACCCATTTTCATGCAAATATCATGGTTTCATTCATCTTTATGGATAAGTAATATTCCATTGTGTAGATATGTCACATTTTCTGTATCCATTGATCCATTTGTAGGAATGTAAATTTGTCCAGAAACTTTGAACACCAGTATAAAAATTCCTTAGAAAACTAAAAATATGAATTACAAGGGTAGAAAATTACCCAAAGCAGGAGCCATGAGAGTAAAGCCCAAGACAGGTTCAATATATTCAAACTGAAAAATCAGTTGTAAGATATTTGTACACTGTGTGAAAGTGTATTTGCTGTGATTGGTGTAATGAAAAGCTGAACGGCCAATAGTTAGGCAGGAGGTAGAGACAGGATTTAGGGGGGAGAGAAAGGAAGGGGAGGAAATGAATCTAGGTGCAAGAGACTCCAGGAAACATGAAGGAAGCAAGATGGGCAGTATGTGACAGAATGTAGATTAATACAAATGGGTTAATTTAAGTTATAAGAGCTAGTTAAAAACAATCCTAAGCTAAGGCCAAACTTTCATAACTAACAATAAGTCTCTGTGTCATCATTTGGGAGCTTGCTGGCAGGATAGAGAAAGACTCAGTACAATCAGCTGTTTCAGTGACTTTTACAGAATGTACCACTGTGGTAGAATGATTTTAAGGTGTGTTGCTTTTGTTTATGTTGCATTTGTTTAAATCTTGTGAAGCTGTGTTACTTTGCCTGTCTAAAACACCTGATGGTCTAATAAAGAACTGAACGGCCAATACCAAGGCAGGAGAAAGGATAGGTAGGGCTGGCAGACATAGAGAATATATAGAAAAAGTAGCCAGAGAAGGAGGAGGACAGCAGGGGCCAGTCATCCAGCTACACAGCAAGCCACGAAGTAAGAGTACGATTTACAAAAGTAAGAAAATGGAAAAGCCCAGAGGCCAAAGATAGATGGGATAATTTAAAGTTAAGAAAAGCTAGCTAGAAACAGGACAAGCTAAGGTCAAGCATTCATAATTAAGAATAAACTTCCATGTGTGATTTATTTGGGAGGTGGTCGGTGGGCTCCAGAAAGAAAAAAAATACCAATATTTATAGAAATAATGATAAATGAAGACCCCATGGGAATAGGAAGAAGCAAAGTGCTAGAGCAGCCCCTAGAAATCCACAAAGATATCTCCACAATAGACTACTGACAATGGTCGAGAGAAAGCCCAAACTGACCTACTCTGGTGATCGGATGGCCAAACACCCTAACTGTCGTGGTAGAACTCTCATCCAATGACTGATGGAAGCGGATGCAGAGAGCCAAGACCAGGCCCCAGGTGGAGCTCCGGGAGTCCAATCGGTGAGAAAGAGGAGGGATTGTATGAGCTAGAATTGTTGAGACCATGATTGGAAAAAGCACAGGGACAAATAGCCAAACTAGCGGAAACACATGAACTATGAACCAATAGCTGAGGAGCTCCCAACTGGATCAGGCCCTCTGGATAAGTGAGACAGTTGATTAGCTTGAACTGTTTGGGAGGCCCCCAGGCAGTGGGACCAGAACCTGTCCTTACTGCATGAGCTGGCTGTTTAGAGCCTGGGGCCTATGCAGGGACACTTTGCTCAGCCTGGGTGAAGGGAGAAGGGGACTGGACCTGCTTGGACTGAATCTACCAGGCTGAGCTGAATCCCCAGGGGAGTCCTTGCCCTGGAGGAGATAGGAATGGGGGAGGTGGGCTGGGGGGAGGGCGGGGGAGGGAGAACAGGGGAATCCGTGGCTGATATGTAAAATTAAATTAAATTATAAAATAAAAAAATAATGAAAGGTCTAAGAATGTTCAACAACAAGCTATCTTTGTATGAACTCTATTGTGAAAACTTTTATTTCATACAGGCACATGTTATATTTGCTTCTGTAAAGCAAATCATCTTAACAAGAACTAACAGTGACAACCACACATCAATTAATGCCAAGCTTCAATTCTTAGCATGTCCCAGATTTAGAAATGAGTTTGGAGAATCGGGGTAATAGTAACTGAGGAAACCCCCTCACTGTTTTAAAAAGCTGATTCCAACATTTGCAGATGTCCTTTGACTGTCCACAGCAGCTTAACAAAGTTTCACACTGCTGTTAATAAGCTGCTGTCGTGAAGGTACGGTATAGACACCTTTGTCTTGGGTATAGCTTCACGATTGCAAGTAGGCATAGAGAAGCAGCAAGTCCAATATGGAAGTCTCCCATAAACCCTTTCAGTTGCTCCTGGACCCCAGAAACATCAAAACGCGAGCTTTCTTTGGAAGCGGGGGGCAGGGAAGGAGAGCAGCTCCGCCTAACCGGTCCTGGGATCCACCTCCCCGCCAGCCGGGCAGCTGAGGCTGAAGCCCAGCCAGCGCCGGAGTGCTCCTAACCCAACCTCCTCGGCGGGACAGGCGCAGGCGACCGAGATACGGCGCGGCGCTCTGTCGCCTTCCTTCCGGTGGCTTTGCTGGTCAGGAGTCTCACTTGGTCATTTCCCTCCCTGCTTTTACAGTAGACAGTCGCAGCACTAAAAGTAGACACCGCCCGAAAGGGACAAAATTTGCCCCTCCCCTGACCTGAGCGCCGCTGCTTCCGGAAGTGGAGCCTTATTTCCGGATCAGGTCCTGGCAGCTCTGAAAAGTAACGTGTCATATTATGAGAAAAGTTGCAACCTGCCAAATCAGTCACGTGTAAAAAAAAACCTGAAAGAGCGAATAATCACCTTTCCCTGCTTTTTAGTTCTAAGACCAGAAAATGTAGCATTTTTCAGTACCAGTCAAGCATGAGTTCTTACCTACTAAGAAGTACTGTAAACACAGAGCGCCGGCGTGGGCCGGCAGCGGAAAGCCCGCGAGATTACCCAGCGGCTTTGCGCGTCCGGTGTGAGCGTCCGCGCTGGAGCTCAGCAAGCATGGGGAAGGTAAACGTGGCCAAGCTGAGGTACATGAGCAGAGATGACTTCAGGGTCCTTACCGCGGTAAGAAGCACACCTCTCTCGCCTGTCCATCCCGGTGGCGTCCTCTTCCTGCCCCTCTAAGGTCGCTGGGAGCTGAGCATGGGGGCTGGGATCTGGGTAAAGGGTCTGACTTTGACTAAGCTTTTGTGGAGAAGAGTTGTCTTTTCCTGAAGACTGCAAAGCCTTCCTTTCCGCTTCTCGTTTTGCTTCAGAGGCGCTGGCGTCTGTGCTGCCTGGGAAACTTCAGGGACTCACGGCTTCCAAACTAGGGAGAGTGAGGATTTAAAAGTCCTTGAAGGAGGCCTCTTAGGTTCCCAATAATAGACCCAGTAATGTTCCCTCTGATTCATCCAAAAAAACACATGTGTCTGGTTTTAGTAACAATTTTAGGCAGTTCAGCAGAGTGCAAAACAGACGGGGGATACCTTCCGTCCTCAAGTAATCCAATAAGTTAATAATGTCATTATCAAGTAGTAAGGATCGTGAGGGTAACAAAGGATAAAGGAATAGAAAGTATCTATGTGGGGGAAGGTGAGGCAAGAGTACTCCTATCTTTGAGTTGTATAGTGACAGAGACTGCCTAAGTCCAAGAATCGTGTCTTTACTCCTATTTTAATTAAATCACAGAGTTGTTGGTTTGTGTCATGTCCCCGAAACAGGAGAATATTACCTACGAGAGAAGAGATGTCCTTGGAAAGAGTTCGAGATAAAGACTATAACCCTAATACGAGCAAAAACCCAGAGATGGGAAAAGTCTTCAGAGGAAGGAAAGGCCAATGTGGAAGATGTACATGGAAAAAAAGCTGAGAACCAGATCATGTAGACCGTTGCCCTTGCAAGCCTAGTAAACATTATGTTGGAAGCCAGTGAATGTTTTAATTAGGAAAATGACAAAATTTGATTGTGTAGCTTTAGTCTCATTGCACAGAGATCATGACATACATCTTAGGTTAGAGTCCGTCAGTCTTTGTTTAGGAGTCACTGTCTTTTGGTAAGAAGGACCATGTTATGTAATTACATAATAGGATATGTAATGTGAGTTCCCTGGTTCATGCATTATTTTAAGCCTTTGTAGCCAAAGTTTTTGGAATTAGTCTTAAGTAGGTAGCACTTACAAATTAATCAATCAAATGCAAAGTCCTAAGAAATTTGGCATACACTTTCTTTCTCCTATAGCTGTCTTAATTGACCTGGGCTTTTTCTTTAAATGGTATTTTTAAATGGCTCTCCTCAGTATATTCGCTTATTTCTCAATGTCTGACAAGAATAAGGTAGTCAAGAAGTGTATTAGAAGATTGGGGAAGCAAAAACAGAACATTAAAAATGAGTTAAAAGTCTCAGATGATTAGTTATGGTGAGACAACAGAGTAACAAATTTTTCTTCCAAAATTTCTAAGCTCCCTAAGAAATTACCTAGTCATTGAACTTAACATTCCAGACTCAGACAGATGCTGCCAGTGTTATCTTTTCTTGCCCACCCCCTCTTTCTGTGAACTTCTTTGCCTCTATATCAATTATCTCAATTATGCTTAATATCTGGAATATCTGTAGGTTTCTTAAGACAGTGTTTAGGTGTTAAGTATTTTATTATCAACCACATGTCATTAGCTTTTCAAGAACTAAGTTTTTACTCTTGAAGTTGACAGTATCAGTGATTAACTGTATTTATCAAGAAGGAATTTAACATGATGGAGACTAAAATAACTATATTGTAAGTCATATGCTGCCTTAAACTTTTTGTTTGGCCACAGAACATGTGTTCAACAATCCTCTAAGATCATTCTATCTAGTGGCAGTATAACCATGGTAGTGCCCATTAACTTTGTAGCCTGTGTTTGCTTAACAGCACATTTCTCAAGATCTGTTCCTATTAGGCTGCACAGCTATGGCTAGAGATCTACTTAGTTGGGAAAGTTTCAAGAGGCTAATTTAATTTCTTAGCAAGGTTTTAATAGACGAGGCTTCATGTTGCTTATGGCATTGTAATGATTCCTTTAATTTCAGGTCGAAATGGGCATGAAGAACCACGAGATTGTTCCGTGCAGTTTGGTTGCTTCTATAGCCAACTTGAAGCATGGTGGTTGTAACAAAGTGTTGAGAGAGTTAGTGAAGCATAAGCTTATAGCTTGGGAACGTACTAAAAGTAAGTATTTTATGCTACATTATTTTGAGCTAATTGGCTTTCTGTAGGGCCGACCTTCCAAGGGCAGGAAGTACAAGTTGCCTGATTAGACAACCAAGAACTGATATATTCTTCTGCCATATTGAATTGGTCAAAAACAATCAGAGTCCACTCAAATCAAAGAGGGCAGAGAAAGTAGCAAGATCATACTGCAGAACAAATGGGATAGTCATACAGTTACTACTTTCCACCTTTGGAAAATTCAGCCTCTCACAGGACTAGAGCATTTCTTCTCAAGCCATCTGTGATGAGGGTTGAAGGTTTAAAAACCTGCCGCAGATCTTTTATAAATATAAGAGAAAGTAGTTATTGGAAAAAGTAAAGAGAATAATGGTTATATAAAAAAATAGGCATAAATTCATGGTCAAATCAGTATAAAATATCCTGAACTTAAATCCCTTTAAGTTTATGTGCATATCTTTTCACAGACTCTCAAACTGGTGTTCATACGTGAATCACACTTTAAGTAGTTCTATAATAGAGAAGAAATTGGGAACTTATAAGTCTGTGTAATTTATCTTTCTCTAGCTAAGACTTTCCATCTTTGATACTTGGATTGAGTTGATGTATCTTGTTGCTACGGTGCAAGTAAATAATGTTCTTATCTAATTTTTGTCTAGCTGTCCAGGGCTATCGGTTGACAAATGCTGGTTATGATTACCTTGCTTTGAAAACACTGTCTTCTAGACAGGTAATTGAGTCTGTTGGAAACCAGATGGGTGTTGGCAAAGAGTCAGGTATGTACTAATAGTATTGTTAAAAGCATTGTCTTTGCTTAAGTTTTTATTTTACTTTGAGAAAGCATTCCATAGTCCAACAAAACAGTAAGTCAGAAAGTTGATCATAAGCAATAACAGATTTAGGAACATAGTTTGTTATATTTATTAACAGTAATTTAGTAAGTTATAATTACCTTCCTAAGTCCATTACTATCAGTAATACCAAAAATTTCCAGAGTTCATACATGCTAGCACATGTTTTACCACACTCAGCTACACTTCAAGCCCTAATTTTCTTTTACTAGCTCACATCTTTGGTAAATATTATATTTGCTCTTATTTTATATCTGATAGTATGTATTTGTAATAATTAAAATTAAAAGGAAGTAATGGAAGATAGTAAATATCAATACCACAGGCACATTGTTATGTCACAGCAACACAGAACTAAAAGCATTTTAAAATACCATTGAGCAAATAGTTGTGTATTCATTTACTTCCTCTGAGAGCGACAAGAATAAAGACTAGGAGATGATTCTGAACCATAGCCTCCTATATACAGTTTTTGTTCTGTGAAATTCTTCCTATCTAATTTACATTGTCAAAACTGGGGAAGCGGGGCTGGAGAGATGGCTCAGAGGTTAAGAGCACTGGCTGTTCTTCCAGAGGTCCTGAGTTCAATTCCCAGCAACCATATGGTGGCTCACAACCATCTGTAATGAGATCTGGTGCCCTCTTCTGGGCTGCAGGGATACATGCAAACAGAACACTGTATACATAATAAATAAAATCTTTTAAAAAAAAAAAAAAACTGGGGAAGCAAAATTAAACTTGAAAATAAATAATTATTAAGAAACCTACCCCAAAAAGGTCCTTATGAGATTTTATATGGTTAGCATGCCTTCTGGGTTTAAATCTAAATTATGGTATGTATTTAAGAAATAATATTAGATAGAATGCTAAGTTGGAGTTGGGAGAGCATGTGCACATGAAAATATGTATAAACACTGTGGACTATCCCTTTGGGTAACATAACCTTCCTGTTAATTGTTTTTGCTTTCAGTCATTACTTTTGAATTTTAAATTATGAATTAGCTATTGTAAATACTTCAATTATATGAAAACTAATTTATGAAATAGATGCTGTTTATTTTTTTAAAAGATTAATTGAATAATAAAATAAGCATTAACATTGTAAAAATAGAAAATACAATAAAATATAGTCTATTTCAAATATATATTTCAGTTAATTTTCTGTTGATTATATCCCATAGCTAAGACAAATAGAAATATCTTATTTAGTCTGAGAAAATTTCTGTATAAAAACAGCTACATTTATGTGTATTTAGAGTTATTTTTGTGTTCACATGAGATTGTAGCCAAGAGTGGAAGTAAGCATTATTCAGCATCTTATACCTTAATTTTTATCTGCTTTTCACTCTTGTTGACATTGTGTATCAGCAGGTATCTTTCTCATAATTGTACAGTGTTACAGTGGAATGGTTGCTCTTTGGTTGGTTTTTACCAATTTCTAAGCAGTAGTGATTTGAGTTTCATTTATTCTTAATTGTGAGCAGTAATGGAAGTCCCTGTCTTTAGATAGATACATTAAAGGTTAGTGCTTCAGTGGGGGAATTTTGAGGAACACAATTCAGTCTATAAAGGATAAAAAGCATATAAATTTTGATATTATCAAGTTTCAAAAATGTGTAATGATTTATATTCTATCAATAAAATGATAGCCTATTATTAATAGAAATTATTAAAATTTCTTAATTATTAATGTACTTAGAATGTGTTCTAAATGTCAGCATTACAAATAACTTACTTTGATAGTTGGCAAATTACTTATTAAGATCATTAGTTTACTTACAGAAATAAATTCTAACTTATTGGTCATCAAAGCAATTGAACTGAACATGTTGAAGTGGAAGATGTTATATCACTTATCTTGGAGTACAATTACATCCTCAGTCCTGCTATATGCAAGGCCTGTGTTGGATCCCTAACACTTCTTTCACTAGAACTGCTTTCTCAATGAATTGGTTGTTTTGACATAATGATAAATATAAGTATTGAGCATCTTTGAAAGCAGAAGTACCCTTTGGCTAAGTATACCTCTGCTTTCTTTTACAGTTACATATATAAACACATTCTGGGTTGTCGTTTAGGATATGAAATATTTTGCACAAAAAGAATTAGGAAAAATAGCAGATACAGTGAAGGCAGATAAAGTTAGAACTAGTTGACCCATTGCAGTAAAAGTGTCCTAATGATGCTTTTATAATTTTTGCTCTAGATATTTACATTGTTGCAAATGAAAAGGGGCAGCAGTTTGCACTGAAGCTTCACAGACTGGGAAGA